CCTTTCTCCTTGCTTTCTCTCTCTGTCATTTAAGGTCACAGCAAGAAGACAACTGTTTGCAAGTCAGGAAGCTAGTCTTCCATCAAAAACCAAATTAGCAAGGCACCTTGATCTTAGACTTCACAGCCTCCAGAACTGTGAGAAATAAATTTCTGTTATTTAAATCACCTACTCTATGGTAATTTTTATTTTTATTTTTGAGACAGGGTCTTGCTTTGTCACCCAGAATGGGCTGCAGTGGTGCAATCACATCTCACTGCAGTCTTGAACTCCTGGTCTCAAACAGCTGGGACAACAGATGCATACCACCACATTTGCTAAATTTTTAAAATTTTTTTTGTAGAGATGAGGACTTGCTATGTTGCTCAGGCTGGTCTTGAAATCCTGGTCTCAAGTGATCCTCCTGCCTTAGGTTCCCAAAGTGCTGAAATTACAGCCATGAGCCAATGCGCCCAGCCTTATGGTATGTTTTTATAGCAGTCCAAGGGAAGACTAATATAGTTATTAACAGAAAGTTTTAATTATTTATTTTACAAAAGATTTCTAATGTTTCTACACAAACACTTGATGAACTTAAAGAAAACATTCTGTATGTAGCTAATCCAGCTTAGAAATGATTGGGCAAGCATTATTGGTGATTCTGGAAATGATTAATATAAAATATTGCTTCACCATTATTTCACTTTTTCTTTCAAATGTAAAGGAATTGGGTCATAAATAAACATGATCATTCCTATGTGCTTTTCAAACTTTCAGGAATATTTAAGTTTTCTTCTAAATCAATTCTAAAGTAACAGATCAGAAAACAATTTCATATAGTTTTGACATATGTAAAAAATAGACTGCAGCTACTTGATTAGAAGACCTACCTATATTCTTACCCCTGAATGAGTTTGCTTCTTCCCAAGTGACAAGATAAACTCCAGGGATTTCCTGATCCTATTGGGTAATGACTATTCAGTACTATCAGAAGGTGAGATTACATCATTGATTACATGGTTTTCAAGTTTAGATCAGGGTCAGCACATTTTTTTCTGTAAAGGGCTAGACAGAAAAAGTTTTTGGCTTTGTGACTTATAGGGTGTTTCTGCCACAATTACTCAACTTTGCCTTGTATTATGAAAGCAGCCATAGGCAATACACAAAGAAATGGCTGTGACTATGTTCCAACAAAACTTTAATTATGGAAAAACATAATTAAAGCGGGTTTTGGCTCACAGACCATAGTTTACAGACTCCTGATGCAAATTGTTTGATAAAAGCAATGCAATAAACGTTTCTATCTTTGGAATCAAAGAAGGGCAAAGCAGGCTATCTTATTTAGATTCACATGACTCTACGTAAATAAGAATGTAAGGACATAATAATTTAAAGTTAATTGCATTTGAGTTAAATTCTTTAAATTAAAAGAAATGCTTAATAAGGTTGCAAATTTGTAGAGAAAAAAGAAATCCATGAATGGTAAAATATAATCACTTTCACTCCTATATACAATGCACTATAAATCTTAGAGACCTCAGCTTTTCCTGTGGCTTCAGCAAATTCCTCAAGGGATACATTACCCACATTCTCACCCGCCTTCCTGAGTTCTCTCTGCAGTTACATTTCTACATTTCCAATGCATACTTGGACAGCTCCATTTGGCTAACCCTGCCATGGCCTCAAATACGAAATATATAGAATCCATTTTCAAAAATTAGCTCTACTTTGAGGCCCAAACATTTTCGCCAATATGACTATCCTTAAGCTAACAATGTTGGTGTTAAAGCATCACACTTTGGCTCTTATTTTTATCACTCCTTCTATTGTCTGCCACTAAGTCCTAAAAATATTTTCTTCTATCATATGTCCATTTATTTTGCCTGTTTCCACCCACTGTGGTTTCTATTACTTCAACCTTGCATTGCTAAACAGCATCCTAGCTGGCATCCAGACTCATGCATCTTATCTTTCTAATTTATTCCTTACACGCTGACAGATAAAACACTGCTTTCATCAGGTGCTTATTCATACCACTTATCGAACAAGGTCTAAAATACTGATCCTGACATTTATAGCCTTCCACAAAAAATCACCCCAGGCTCCAGCTCATGTCTTTACAGCTTCAATCTACTCACTTTTCTGTGAATACATTTAGTGTTTTTGTTTTTCTTACCTCAAACACTGAGCTTAGAATTGGTCTTATTTTGTATTCTTTTCTTCCTTCTTTTACTATTACAGTACAAGTCAAGCCCAGCTTATCCTTTAAGTCTTTCCTCAGCTCCTCAGCTTCAAATGATTGGTTCTGCAGTTTTAGTCTTTAACTCCTACTTGTTGGGTTATAGTACCAGAGATCTCATATCCCTAACAAACATAAGCTGGCTAGTTTGGATATCTTCAGCCTTTCCTGACTCTCACATTTTTTTCCACACAGACTTCTAAACACAATCACAGCTGAATGAGTAATTGGATTTAGCAAGTCTGATGTACTAGAGAAGACAGGGAGTACTTTCCTTTAGTCTTTGCTGACTGATTTAATCTTTACTACACAATTACGTTAGTTGTGAACAAATAGTACAAGTTTTTTTTTATAGACTCTGACCGTGCAAGGACAAAGATGAGAACAGCAAGAATTTGACAGGTTAAAAATGCAGAGTTCTGAAAACAGCCATGACTATCAAAGGCAAAAAATGTTGCCATCCCATCATTTGCAAAAGATACATATACACCCTTAATTCTCCTCATTTCATGTTTCTCTAGAAATATAGGCTCTAAGAAGACAAAAAATCCTTCATCTATTCAGGCGACAAAGAAAAAGATTGTCTTCTTATGGAAGTTAAAGGGGTTCTTTTGAGTATATTTACATAGAAATCATTTTTAATAATACTTTCTCTTCCTGAATATCCTGAAAGAGGGATAAGATCATTGAGATATAGTAAGCAGTCTGACAAGTATGCCAAGATCAGAAAGCATTATTTAGGTACAGGCAGAGAAAGAGGCACCCGTAGTTGGGAACCAAGAAAGGAACAGTCAGAAAGGCTGGAGAAAGTAGCACCAAGGAAACCAAAGTTCCATTTTCACAGAGGGAGTGTGTGACGGTATTAGACATGGCAAGGCAGTCACCGAGGCTGAAGAATGAACAGAGGCTTTCAGAACCTGGAAATGAAAAAGTCACTGGTAATCACAGAAAGAACAGTTTTTGTACAGATTGTGTTCCAAATAACAAAAGCCCATGTTGATTTTTGTTGCTTGTAGGCCTCCTATGACATATGCAGACATTCATAGGGGTTATGAACTAACAGGAAGGGAAAAGAAATTAGCATTTAATGAAGTCAGGGTGCGTCAAATGCTGTAAGGCTTTTGTGTTCTTAACCTTAAAGAGAAGAAATGAATTATCCAAGGTTGTGTAGTTTCTAAGTAATGGAGTCTGGAACTGAAGCTGTTTCCACATATGTGCTGCTTCTAATGTATCTTGTATTTCCTCCAGTGCTGTCTTTTAAAAATATGTCTTTCATCTGTTGTCCTAATTTTATTTCACACTTTGATGTCTGCATATTATTTGTGCATAGATATAGAATATAAAAATTGAAATAATCCTAAACAATCATTTGACCAAAATCCCACTTTTTTTTCCCATCAAAATAAGCTGAGTGAGGCTCAGAAGAGTGAAGGGATGACCGAGACTCGCACTGTATTTATGAAAGAACTGGTGCTAAAACTGTTTCCTGATTCCCAAACTTATGATCATTGCCATCACAAACCCCTGTACAGGACCCAAATGTGCACAAATGTATGCTTAGGGGAATTAGCAAGACATAACCAGAAGATCTTGTTTTACTCAATTTCTCAAAGAATGATTTGAAATGAGAAGAATGACTTTTAAGTTTATGTACCTGAGTTTCTCTGACAAGGGAGCCAGACTTCTTTCTTACCCAAAATTGATGGTGGAAACACACAATGAGAATTATGCAAAAAAATCCTACAAAAATCACTCAGTAGTTAAGATTATTTGTAAACTAAATTTTTTGTTTCAAATGAAGCCTTCTACAATGAAGAGTATAAAAATAGAGGAATTTGTCTTACAAAGTAGAAGTTTTTCTCAAAATAGAAAAATAACCAGTTTTCACTGTAAAGAAAATGGAGTCCCAGATCAAGTCAGCAGAAACGAATTCTGTTCTATATGTTCAAAATTCTGTATCGTCAAGAAATACAAAACCACAAATGTGGCAGCAAAATATGTTTTTATAAACTAAAAAAATTGATTTCATATTCAGCTACATATTAAGCTATATTTTAAGTAGATAGCAGGAACTACATGCTAAAAATCAATATGAGTAACAACAATCATGTACTGAATTTGCTGCACATATAAACAACATGTGCCAAAGCTTGGGACTTACATAAACCCTATAATATCTAGTAAATAATTACAGAAAGCATGAAACCTCCCCACCACTCATTTCTGCAGTATTCCCTGTTATTTACTTGTATAGACAGATTGCAGTTCATATATTACAGATTTTGAGTACATAAATGTGTCATTTAAAAGTCAGTATTGAATATGAACAAATTGTGGATGGCAAGACAATGTTAGGAATGTCAGTGCTGGGAACTTCTGGGAAAGCTAACCAATTATATTGCATTATATACACACATATATAATACATATAGACAAATAAGTAAGAATCCTATTGACCATCTGGGTTGCAAGCAGTTATGGAATTCCTTGATCGAAAACATACAAAAGCATCAGTATACCATCTATGTCATAACCAAAAGCTTGGACTGATTTTCTTTCAGATATGAATGAAGGGAAAAATTCCAGAGTTATAAGTGAATACCAAAGAGCAAAGGACACAACTATAAAAACACAAGTTTCTGTGTTCTGGTGTTATGAAGGCTGAGCTACAGCAGATTCATACCTGCTCTGCTTTTGTTTGCTAAGCAGGAAGTCAAAAGGATAAACACATCAGTTACACTAGTGATGTTGGAGAAGTGAGCGGTGGAATGGGATCTCCCACCTCTTGCCTGTCGTCCAGGCCCACAGCCTTCCTGTGCTCCAGGGCTGTCCTGTTGCACACTCCATGGAACCAATTGGCATCTGCGCCATTTGTGAGTCTTCCACCTACAAGAAAAGAATAGAAGCCCAATGGAGGGGAAGAAAAACACCAGGAAAATCACAGAGATACGGCATCATGGAAATGTGACTTTGAGTAACGTGAACAGAAAGTTACTCAACAATGTTCAGTCCTGTCTAAATTTAATTTAGATCTCCATCAAGACATTATAAGAAGCCACATTAAATATAATAGTATTTTCTATGGCAATGAAGATGAGCATACATCGTTGTCAAGTTCTATAGGACTCTACAGAGAACATGTAGCCTTTTTACTGATTGGTTCTAAGAGATGTAACAGCTAGCACTGGAAGTGATGCCTTCCAATTCAATAAAACATGTTTGCTTCTGTGCATGTTATGAAGCCACAATCAAATACAGTCATTTGTATAGTGCCTTTTTGGTTAGCATTGTAGAAGTAACCCAACAACTGCAATTACAATACACTTGACAAAAACAAATCCAAAAATAAATAAGTTTGGGCCAATAGTTCATTTTCATGGCACAAACATACAATTATAACATTTATCATCTCCGAATTAAAGAACAATGTATTAAGATGGCAAATTTGCTGTCAATTTCATTTTAAATTATTATTTCGAGACTATACTTTCCACTAACTGATGTCATAATATGTCATCTGCTATCAGGGTTGCAATTATATACTACATCGAGTTTCAATTATGTACTTTCTGTCTTAATGGTGAGGAGGCCAAATTTCTCTAATAAATTATCAAGATGATACATAGCTACAATGACTGTAATTTTATTTGAGGGGATCACAAATGAACAGAATAGACATCTCACTAGCATCATTGAGATAGAGATGTCATTACCTGAGCCAGAATGCCAGTATTTTGTGAGAAGAAACAGATGTTCTTTGGAACCAGGGGAGAAATGCTTAGGCTATTAAATAATTGCATATGTGTTTCATAATTATCAATACCTTTTCTGCATTTCTTTTCTTTCTTTCTCTTTTCTTTTTTGAGTTGAAGTCTCACTCTGTGGCCCAGGCTGGAGTTCAGTGGCAAGATCATGGCTCACCACAGACTCAACCTCCTGGGCTCAGGAGATCCTCCCACCTCAGTCTTCTGAGTAGCTGGGACCACAAGCATGCACCACCATGCCTGGTTAATTATTTGATTTTTTGCGATGAAGTCCTGCTATGTTGCCTAGGCTGGGTTTGATATCCTGGGCTCAAGCTATTCCTTCACTTAGCCTCCCAAAGTGCTGGGATTACAGGCAAGAGTCACTGCACCCAGCCTGCATTTCTTATAGTTTATATCAACATAAGACATTTCCCCAATCGACATGAGCTAACACCACAGCTTAGAAATTTACACAAACATTTGTCTCCTTGGAGATGAGATCAGCAGCAGAACAGCTCTCCTGAAAAGGCCAGAAACGGCAGCCACGGCCATAAACATCCCTAACTTCACCAAGCCTGTGGCAGAAAGTGTTGATTTTCTTTGCTCATTCTCTGAAAGAACGTGGACTTGCAATGTTCGCTTGGACATTGTTCATGGTGCTTTTCTCCAACCCCATTACCTGTAGCTCTGGCACACTATAGGGGCCTCGCAGGCTTTCTCTTCGTAGAGGGGGTCCATGCAGTCCCGGCCTCCATTGGCAGGCAGCTGGATGATGACCCGATGCCGAGACTGCTTCCTGACTCCAGAGTCCCCTGCAACGAGGCAGCTTGTTAACCCCTGTGCTTTGCCCTGATAAAAGAGTTTCCAAATGCCAGTCTGTGAAGGAATTGCCTTGCCTCCAGCGACATGCGTTTTGACATTGCTGAATGAAAGGTTTCATCTAGTCTAATCATTCATTCGATTCTCCCAAAACCACTTATATCGGAAACTCAATCAATTCATGCCTAAAATTAGAGAAAATGTAAGGAATGGAGAAAATAGTTCTACTGTCAACTAGCCTTCTCAACGTGAAGTTACAAAATAATTGCTCTTTTGTATATTTCTTTCCCTTGAGGAATATGACGGAACTAATTAATTTATTTTCTTCCACCTTAAATTTATTTTCATGCTATTCTGCCTACCCCTGCTTACCACATGAGACTCATATACATGTAATGAATCTTCTTTAGGGGAATATATTCAGTGCTATAATGTGAACTTTTATTCCTTTGTTATTCATTTAATTTGAAATGCATAACTTGTAAATTATTCCAGTCATTTATTATTCATGTTTAACAGTCTAAGATCTTCAATTCAGGTCACATTCTAAATATCAGGGCTCGAATGTTGAAAGTGGTTTCTTAGAGGTAGACATTTCAGAGAAACAGTCAAAACAGCAATCATTACTGTAAGTAAACAACCCCAAAGGATATTAAAAAATAGAAAAAACTTAAGATTACCTTCAATAAAGACATTAGTTTGACAGTATTAGTGATAAAAGCATGTTCAAGTTTTTTAGTATTAAAAGCAGATAGTGTATAAAACTTGTCAATTTTAATACAATATATTTCAACTGATATTAAATACACCTTAAGGAACAAGGTTTTACTTACAGAAGAATTCCGTAAAGAATTATGTTAACAGAGTTCCCCTGATGCATTTACATTCTTTCTCAAGATTCTTAAATCTTTGATACATAGACTACAGAACTGGAAAAATTTTGAAGGGTTAGCAGCTCCTAACAAAGTTGAATCAGAAATAAAAATGGGGCTATGCTTTTCTTTAAGTTCTGTCTTGTCTCCCCCAATCTGGGGGAGGTAGACTCCCTCCCTCTCCTTTCAGTCTACTTTCTAAATAAACCATTTTTCCTAATAAAAGAAAGAAAAACGAAATCTTTTTAAAGATACCGAGGGAATGAAAAAAATATGATTTGGCGATTAGAATTTTCTCGTAATGGAACGTCCTTTTTCATGAAGTCAGGGGATACCTCAACATGACCTGGGCACAATTCAGAGCCATGTTGACAGAGGATTGCTGTACTAGATGGTGTGGGGGAGGATTAGCTTAGAGATTCCTAAGTGTCTGACTTCATAGGAGAGTCTCCGACAATAGATTTCGGGACCTATACCCAAAACTATTAAATCAGAATTTTGGGAACTGGGTTTGGGAATCTGACTTTTAAAAAGTTTGCCAGATGATTGGGAGGAAAAGTCAGAGTTGATATCTATCGAAAAATATGACCTTGTAAGGCCCCTCCCAATGTAAGATTCTGAGTCCACATATGACTTTTCAGGACTATACCCATTGTGGGGGGTAACCTGTACTATTAATGAATGTGTAACTATTTTAATAACTAGAATACTACAAGTAATAAAGTAGGGACTTGGGGGCTGAAAGTAATTGAGCAGCAGAGAATTAAAGTATTTAAAAATATTGTCATGAACTTTTAATTGTGGCAATAGTAGCTTGAATGCCAGCTGCAGCTTTTGCATATGAAATCTGATTTATCTAGGGAAGATCTAAGAAATGTCAGTAGGATTTTTAATAAATTGCTAATGCAGTCTCCATCTATTATACTGTCCAAATGACCCCTATTTTAAGGGTTGGGTGATGAATGCCTCTAACAACTCAGAGCTAGGAAAATTTTTGTTCCCCTTGACAATCTGTTAAGAACCCATGTGTTTCTTTCTTTCTTTTTTTTTGCTTTGGTCACCAGAATCTCAGTACTAATTTTCTTCTCAATTTCAGGAGCTTACTTTAACTTTGAACTTCTAGAACTATAATTTTCCTCTTCCCTTCCCTTCACCCTCCCCCAGGCAATCCCTGGCTCTGTCCTTCTTTTAATATTTTTAAAATTTTTTAAAAATGATTTTTCCTTTTGTTTTATGTTTATGATCTGGCTTTAATCTTTTTTTTTTAAAGTATGTGACCTACATAGCTGTTTTTTTGTTTAACAGGGAAAATAATACAAATGGGTCTTAGTTTCCCAGGTGGTCAAAATTCTTAGAGGCAATTACTCTCCAGCCTGCAGACAGAAAACAGACATGGGCATTGAGTCCAAGGGATCTGGGGACTGTAGGGGACAATGAGCTCAGCATCAGTGGCACCTCACAGATGGAAGTTCCTCATCATTAACTGTCTAGATGGCACCTGGTGCATAGCCAGGGCTGTTCCAGTTTGAGAAGTAGCAATGCTAGTGTTTCAATTCCATTTTGTTTGACTTGAAAGAAAAAATGTCCCTTGAAGTACAATTCTGAAACATTCTTCTAGTATCTTCTCATCCCAAACTCCACACATTTGTATCAGATACATAAGATTATGATGCTGCTTTTCACTTCCTTTATGGACTCCACAGTAGCAAATGCATTTATTTCACATCTTCTCAACTGGATTATTAGTTAGCATCTTCTAGTTCTTTCTATCTCTTCCCTAACAGTAGTAAGTGCATGGGTACTAAGTTTGTTCCTTAAGGGTTAATAAAAATATGCTATCATTTTTTTCATTGACCATAATAAGCTTGGGAAAAATAAAGGCACCCACTGGTGGTGCTTATGCTTGAAAATACCCATATAGGATAGGAATAGAAAAAAAGGATTGCACAGCCAGAAAATAATTATATACTGATGGGGTGCATAGATACAGAGGGTACGTAATCTCTCACACATTTATAACATTTTTTCAGATATCTTAAGGTATTCAAAATATATTTTATAAAGAAATTACTTGATGAAAGGATTTAAATGGCAGGTACAATCAATTCATTAAGCAGAAATGGATGGCACTTTGGTAGAGCACAATGATGAGAAATTGAAAGGGACATGTTTCATGCAAGAATCAGAATGTAGAGGCAGTTTTCAGGTCTTTGGGGGGTAATTCTAGTGTACTAGATTCAGAACATGAGGGTAGCATAGACGTTTCTGCAATATCCCTTCTAACTCTCAAGGCAATAAGTGCAGTGAGGAAAAAAAAAGGAGCAAACAGAATTTGAGCAACCAAATATATTATTTGATCATAAGTACCGAGTTTTAAAACTCAGAATTACAAACAATTTATGTGCATAAAATTATTTCTACTTCTTAAAATCCCCTTTGTATAAATGTATGACAATTTAAAAAATGTTAACAAGCTCACTGGTCTGAGGGTTAAATTGCATTGTACTCAGTACTGATCTTTACCAGCATTGATTTTTCAAGGCATATCTTGAATAACATTTCAAATAACTCTTTTAGTTCTTCCTGGAACCCTAAGCTATTCTGTTTCATTTTCTGCAGCAATATAGTGTAATTTTGTCTCCTTAAAGTGATTTTAAAAAGAAGGGCCACATTTTAATAAGCTCAGTACCCTCATACAATTTAGACTTTACCTGCAGAATTAAATTGAGAAGAACCTACATTTGAATTAATTTTCTGTTGCTATTACCTCTCCTTGAACATTCAACTTTGTTTAGCATTTTTAAGTTGAATAAGTTGGTATAATTTCAACGAAACTTGAATTATTTCTGTTTCTTACCAAACATTAAAAAAACTAATCTCATGCCATTGTTTGATTTTTCTAACAATAAAAGGCTAGCTTTCTGTAACAGCTCTGTCTCCTTATTCTCAGTACAGTAGTCTATAGACAAAACAGGGAGGGCTTCTTTGGTGGCACAAAGCATGTTGGTACTGTTATCTAATAACAACCCCTTCTCTTACTTCCCAGTCTTTTTAAAAAAATTTCCTTAATACACAATTATAGCTATTCTTTTAAAATCTGAGTGTCTAGCTTTAGGATTTTTGAAAACTGTTTATTCTAGGAGACTTGAAATAAAGCTGCCAAATAAAACAGGCAGGGCTGACCTCCTATTTTGGTTGACATGACCTGTTTTCAGCAAAACGAGGCCCCATCTCTCAGAGAGCTTCTTACTTCCAAGAAAGCTCTTTGCTGAATTGACATTTTTGCACGACTTGGCTATCACATCCCAGGAGCTCCAGGAGAAAACAGTCTCCCAGTGGCATCACGCATTTTCACTTACAGTAGTTTTCTACCTTCCCCCAAGAGACCAATCCAACTAAACCCATTATACCTCATATGTCTGTCATTCACCACAAGAAATGAGTTCTCCATGGCCCCAGGTCTCCCATCAACACCTGGACCCAAGATACTACCTACCTGTATAATCCGGTCCCATTTCTCATTCCTCTCCATCCTCCTATCCTCTCACAACTGCACCCACTGGAACACATAGTTTTTCATTTTCAATCTCTTCTTGGAAACTTCCCTTCACATTCTTTACTAGTGGAAGCTCGCTCCACCTAGCTATTTCAGTTTTTTCTCCTCCCTCTATCTTACAAAATCTCTAACTCCTTTAGGCTGCTATTGTCAACATTACCATCAGCTACCTATCTGTAATACTCATCTAGAAATCCTTCTTCAGAACACCCTCCTCTGTCATCTTTCTCTTCCTATCTCTGTCATAAGCTTAGGTGGCTTTGATAACCATATGGTTAATCCTTCCATGACAATGGATTTTGAATTATTGTACCGTCTCTTGTCCAATGGTCTTTTCTTATAAATTGAACCAATTACCCAACTCTTCTGTTAATCCCTTGATGCTATTATCATCAGTAAATGTGTATGCTCATCTTCATACATTTTAGTACCTGACCATTTCTCCTGACCTTCCATTTTATCTACCTTAGATTTATCTTACCAAAGATGAGGGCTGTAGTCATCAAACTCTCTTGAGGCTGCCATGCACTTTCCTCATCATGCTTCACTATCTAGCATTCTCTTC